TGATGCCATATGTATCTGTAATCTAAGCGGATGCCTAAAAATATTGAGAGTAAAGAATTTTCTCTCACCTGGGGATGGGCTTAGACTAGGAGATGTTAGGTTCAACGAAGTGTCACAGTGTACCGCAACGTCTAAAATATCCTTGTCGATATATTGTGGTGAGCTGGATGTCTGCAGGACCTTATGTAGGACCTCTGTTCTGGACTACATAAGATAAGCCGAACTTGACCAAATATGTCAGATGAATGATTAGGTATGACTGGCCTGTCAAATCAGATGACAGTCACAGTAAAAAAGTACTCAGGTCGTTTTAACTTAATCGTCGCTAATCAGGATATGTACAAGAACAATTATGGATCATCCCTAATCAACAAACTTAACATCAAAATCACTTTATTTATATTTATTGGTATTAAACAAGCAATCAGTTATTGAATTGTATAAGTTATCTATCAAAATTGATGAACGGCACAATAATAAAATGCTTGGACTGTTTCTGGAGATGAATAAAAATACGATTTAGTTATCCATGCTCAACAAACGTAAAGTCATAAAGGGTTCATTTTTGTTTAAGTTTGTTTACCAAGCAATCAGTAATTGCATTTTCCACTGATTAACACAATCAAGTTGCATATGATATCTGGAGATTCTTTACTTACTTACTTACTTACGCCTGTTACCCCCAATGGAGCATAGGCCGCTCACCAGTTTTCTCCAACCAACTCTGTCCTGGGCTTCTCTCTCCAGTTCTGTCCAATGTTTGTTCATTCCTCTCATATCTTTCTCTATTTCTCGGTGTAATATGTTCCTTGGCCTTCCTCTTTTCCTTTTGCCTTGAGGGTTCCATGTGAGGGCTTATCTCGTGACACAGTTAGGTGCTTTCCGCAATGTGTGTCCTATCCACTTCCACCGCTTCTTCCTGATTTCCTCCTCCACTCGAATCTGGTTTGTTTTCTCCCACAGTTCGTTGTTGCTGATGGTGTCTGGCCAACGAATGCGAAGTATTTTGCGTAGACAACTGTTAATAAACACTTGTATCTTCTGGATGATGGCTTTCGTAGTTCTCCATGTTTCCGCTCCATACAGTAGAACTGTCTTGACATTTGTATTGAAAATCCTGATTTTGGTTTTGTTTGAAAGTTGTTTGGAGTTCAAGATATTTTTCAACTGTAGAAATGCAACCCTCGCTTTGCCAATCCGCGCCCTCACATCTGCATTCGATCCACCTTTCTCGTCGATGATGCTGCCCAGATATGTAAAGGTGTTAACGTCCTCCAAGGCATCTCCATCAAGCGTGATTTGGTTGGTGCATGTTGTGTTGCATCGGAGAATTTTGCTTTTTCCTTTATGTATGTTGAGACCTACTGCTGCAGCGGCTGCTGCTACACTGGTCGTCTTCTCTTGCATTTGTTGTTGCGTGTGCGATAGAAGAGCCAGGTCATCTGCGAAGTCCAGATCGTCCAGCTGCGTCCTAACTGCCCAGTTGATACCGTGCTTCCCTCCAGATGTTGACGTCTTCATAATCCAGTCGATGACCAGGAGAAAGAGAAAGGGTGAGAGTAAGCAACCTTGCCTGACGCCGGTCTCCACCTCGAAAGAGTCTGTTAGCTGTCCTTCGTGTACGATTTTGCAGTTGAATCCATCATAAGAATTCCGTATGATGTTGACTATTTTCTCAGGCACACCGTAGTGTCGAAGAAGCCTCCACAGTGTTTTCCTATCCACGCTATCAAATGCTTTCTCGTAGTCGGTGAAGTTGATGTAGAGTGGTGAGTTTCATTCAATTGATTGTTCCACAATGATCCGTAATGTAGCAATTTGGTCAGTACATGATCGATCCTTACGAAATCCGGCATGTTGATCTTGAAGTTGGGCGTCTACAAAGTCCTTCATTCTATTTAACAATACTCTGTTGAAGACTTTGCCTGGTATTGAAAGAAGAGTGATGCCTCTGTAGTTCTCACACTTGCTGAGATCGCCTTTATTTGGTATTTTGATGAGGTATCCTTCTTTCCAATCTGATGGTACTTGTTCCTCATCCCAAATCTTCTTGGAGAGGATGTGAAATATTTTCGCAGTTGCTTCTACATCTGCTTTCATTGCCTCTGCTGGAATTTTGTCTGGTCCTGCTGCTTTGCCGCTCTTGATTTGTCTGATGGCCATACTGATCTCCTCAATCGTAGGTGCGCCAATATTAATTGGGATATCCGTGGATGCTGCTTCGATGTTGGGTGTGTTCAGTGGAGATGTTCGATTCAATAGTTCCTGAAAGTGCTCTACGCACCTATTTCGCTGTTGTTCAGTGTTGCTGATTACTCTGCCTTCCTTGCTTTTCTGGTTTACGATAGTTCCCGGCGAGCTTCTTTGTTGTTTCGTACAATTGTCTCAAGATTCCTTCTCTTGCAGCCTTTTCCGCCGTCATTGCTAGATCTTCCAAATATTTTCGTTTGTCAGCTCTGATGCTCTTCTTCACTTCTCTGTTTGCTTCTGCGTATGCAGCTTGTGCGGTAACTTTCTCTGCTCTTGTTCGACTGACAATGATTGCTGCCTTCTTGTTCCTCCTTTCTTCGATTTTTGCGAGAGTATCAACAGAGATCCATTCCTTGTGATGGTACTTCTTGTGACCCAGAACTTCGTGACATGTTGAAGTGATTGCCTCCTTAATCCCTGTCCAATTGTTCTCCAATGTTGCGTCCTCTCGATTGTGTAGATCCTGAAAGGCCTCGAACCTATTGGTGAGGGCTATCCTGAATTCGTCGAGCTTTTCAGTATCCCGAAGAAAGGCCGTATTAAACTTTTGTGATGTTGTCTGTCCCGTTGTCCAGTGCTTCTTTAGTTTCAGTTTCATTTTGGCGATTAGCAAATGGTGATCTGAGGCTACATCAGCTCCTCTCATGGTTCTCACATCCTCCATAGTCCTTCTGAACGTTTTGTTGATACAGATATGATCAATCTGGTTTTGAGTAGTGTGATCCGGTGAAATCCATGTAGCTTTGTGTATGCGTTTGTGCGGGAATATTGTGCCACCGATGACCAGTTTGTTGAAGGCACATAGGTTTGCAAATCTCTCACCATTTTCGTTTCTTTCTCTTAGTCCATGTCGTCCCATGATGTCTTCATATCCAGTGTTGTCCATTCCAACCTTGACATTCAGGTCTCCCATAAGAATCGTCAAATCCTTTGGTGAACATTTCTCAACGATTGACTGCAGCCTTTCGTAGAATTGATCTTTAACGTCGTCATTGTAGTCATAGGTAGGTGCATAACATTGGATGATTTCATAATAATGTCCTGTTTCTTTGTTTTGAAGGATGCTTTAATGATCCTGGGTCCATGAGATTCCCATTCTATCAGTGCGTTTTGTGCATGTTTGGACAGCATCAGTGAAACTCCTTGTGTATGTGAAGCATTTTCATCTTCATGACCAGAGTATAACAGCAGTTCCCTTGAAGATAGTCTCAGTTGTCCTACTTGTGTTCAATGTGTTTCACTGATTCCAAGCACCTCGAGGTTGTATCTTTTCATTTCTGCCGCAACTTGAAATAGTCTTTTAGTCTCCCACAATGTACGAACGTTCCATTTACCCAAAAAAATGGTTCCTCTGGTTGTCAGAAGAGGCATCAGCCCCGTGACTTCCGAGGGAACTCGGCTTTCATCACGAGACGTCACAATTCTTCCTCCAACTCCCAATGCTGAGTTAAAATGGTTTGAATTATTTTTTCTGGTTAGCGTTTTTTGGCAAGTTAGTTTTTGACGGAATGGGGTCGCCAACCCCATGTCCAACCCTCCCCCTTTTACCCGGACTTGGGACCGGCAGTAGACCCGAAGTTTCTACTGGCGGAGTTATCTGGAGATTCAGTCAAACTTATGTCCTTCTTTCACTCTGGTTGATTTCCTTGTGCTGTTGTGTTCAGCTGCCGATTCGAATATACTTTTAGAGGTAATCGCAATCAAAAAAAATAGACAAGAATCGATCAATTACTTTCAATGGAGACAAAATTCGATAGTAAGTAAGTAAGTAAGTAAGTGTAGTCAACTGTAGAGAAATTCGAATACTTCACTTCTGAATAAGGTATTGTTAGGTATGTTAGATCCCCAGAATTCGCTTGATAAACGAATGCCTTATTTTTGATTTCATGTTTGCGAGCATGTGATGATCAGTTGACCATGAGATTTCATTTCTCACCAGGAAAATCTATGGCTGTGATTGGTTGCTGTGTATTTTGTTGTGCTATTTTCATAACTGTCACAAGAACGTTTCTATTATGTTTAAATAAACGAGAGTTGTGTGCTTGATTGTATTGTGATTGCTGTGTGTTTGTAGAATATACTTTCTACGCTTACAAAGTCTTCTGTTTACAGCTTGAGATTCAAAATAGCCTATCTGGACGCTAGTAATTGTCTCGTTCGCGTTTATCGACTAAGTTGAACTCATAATAGCTTCAAGTGCGTACCTAGTGACGAACATATCAGGTGTACACTGATGATTTTGTTGACGAAAAAAATGATTTATCCCCGACCAAATAATTCAAAACAATTTCATCGTAAAATATAATCTTCACGTTCATTTACATTCAATAAAATCCGACAACGACAAATCATCTTCTAAACACGTGTTGAAACTTCCATTCTTTCAATCTATAGCCTTATCTAGATTATTTGAGCCCAAAAACACAATTTTATTCTTGTCAATAATATTATCAGTAAAATACAGACTGTACAACACAAAGATAGAGATGTTTTATCAAAGACAAGTAAGCACTATATGAAAATGTACATTTTGTCAACATTAACAATCTTGAAAATTCAATGGTTTACATTATAATATTACTTTTAAAAACAAGCATAACTGAGTGTACAATCGCTAACACAGTGAATATTTCGCATTATTGAGTAATGAAATAAAAAAGTCACTTTAAAAGTAAATAAAGAAGTGAAAAGTTATTTATTTTTCAATAGCCTAACTTCCCTACAGATACGCATTATCCTGGAGAAAATTTTCATGCTGAAATGTTAAAATTATTTGAGAATTGAACGATTAATTCGTCAGAAAATTAAAGTTATATGACTGTTATATCAATCATTTCACAACATCAATCGGATAAATACAATTTCTTGATTCGATTGAAAAGTTTAAACGTTTGATGACATTATAAATTGCTTCGATATATATATATACGTCCAACGTTCATACAAATCAATTACCTTTAGTGATCTTTGGTATTGTTTCTTCAACAATACAAAATTTGATACGATCGTAAGCAGTTTGATAATCACTGTAGTATCCTTTTTTAAGTAGATCTACTAACGATAGTACTACATGCGTTTTCTTTAAATCCATTTCACATCTCGCCACTGTGTCTAAAAATCCAGGATATCTTTTCATCAAGTTTTCATACATCTATAGTTGTAAAACGAAAATGATGATAACATTCATGGTAAAACTTGTTCCACATGAGTCATGGATGATAGAAATATGTAAGTGTCACAATTACAAGTAGAATAGATCAGCCTCTCTTTTATACATCATCCGTTTCAATGCCTGTTATAATACTTGATAAGAAAATAATTACTTCCGCTTCTGTCAACATCTGTCATTCACCTGCCTTTACTACTGACCACAAGAATACACAATGATTCCTAGTGCACAAATCAAACGGAATAGAACAAGTGAAGAATAACAAAACTACTGAGTTATCTTAACTAACCTTCATACACAGGTCAATGTTCTGCGTTTTTTGAGGTGCAGGTATTGATATGTCATATTGCTCCGCTAACAAACACAAAATACCATTATCGATAGAAAAAGTTTTAAATGGTACAAATCTTATCGAAATACTGTTTAGCTGAAATACATGTTTTAAATAGCAGTCAACTTCTCACATGGTCTCGCTATCATTACTAGTACTTAAATGACATTATAATAAACTATTTTACATCATATGTAGCTCTTTAATAATCTACCTAATTGTCAATTTATTGAGATTTGAGATAAATGAAAAAAATATGTTAAAAGTACTGTATGCTGATAAATTTGGGCGAACTAGTAGCTCTTATTACCACACGCCTATTTAAATAATATCAAACAACCGATAATTAAAAGTTGTAGAATATATCAGTATAAAAATAGCTTTTCGCTGATGACAAATATATACGTCTCAGTGTCAAATCATTTTTCAAAGGTGAATGATCTAACTCTAGGCATCAAATGTCGAGAAAGTGATAAAAATTAGGGTTATCCTATGTAGGATGAATTTTTGTCATCAACTGAAATGCTACTTGCCAGGATTTGGAATGAACAGTTAATCTGGGCTTTAGAGTTTTGTTTGATAAACAACTGTTTGGATTTTCATCACAAATATGAATTCCATGTAAAATTTCCATTCGAATCATATTTATTGAAATAATTAAAAAGAACACAACAACATTCCACATTTGATCTTACATTCAAGGTCAAATCGATCACCTAAAAAAATCGAGAATTGAAAATTATTACATAATATGAAAACAATATCTTATGTTTAAAGTTAAAAGCCTATAACTTCAAAGTTGTACACAAAGAAATGAATTGAAACATTGAGCACACATGATTATTTTGTGTCAAATAATGGTTGAAATCAGAATGAAAAATAACCAATCAAATTCAATATCATGATAGTATTATGATAATGTTTCACTTACGCTCTACAGAATCAACGCCTGAAACAATTTTTAATTCAATAGCACATTGTCAATGCATTTTAAGGGAAAATTGTTGTCTAATTGTGAAATGAGAAATCGATAATTGCTTTGCAAACTTGGCAGATTATGAAGACTAAGAGAAAATTGACATCTAGTTCAAAGTTCCAATCTTGAAAAGACAGACAGTTAAAGTGCTCTTTACAAAACCACGTCAGTTACGAAGATAAACGAGAATGAAAAAATCTATGGATACCATGACGAACACCACTTTTATTAATCAATTTCGATAAGCTCTGACTCAAACCACCAGTGTTCTTTAAGAGAGCCTCTATTAGGTTGATGAAACTTCGGTACTCTTTACAGTGAAATACGCTGTCACAAAATTTCACGATCGACGGAGTCAAATGCTACCGTATAGTGCAAGATTAAAACTATCTTCGGATGTTGAAATATGAGTCCGTGTTTTGTGAATGTCTGCTGTGTACAGACATGCTCAGGTCTGGAAACTCTGTGATTTACACGATTCGACTTATCACGAGCACCAGATGTGCATTAAACTATACTTGAGTCTCACATATATTTAGCTTCTCTATTAATTCAGAACATTTGTTTACTCCTACCTATTGCTTTTTTTCTCGTATCTTGCTTCCGCCATCAATCATGAAAAATTCTGAATAGCTAGCTACTACAACTTACGCCTGTTGCCTTCTAGAAAACTCTTGCCTTCTCTGATGTACACTGTTAGTTGTCACTAGGTGAGCTTAGCATCAGACTGATCTTCAGTTTGGAGCCAGATGAGTAAAATCTTCTCGAATCTAACTTTTCAGTAGTTGCTACTACATTCACTGCTTCTCTTTTTTTAACTTTCACATTTGCTGGCAAATATTACAGCTTTGTGGAAATGATTGCAATTGCTACTGGTGATCCACATTCACATGGAAGTTAAACTTATTTTTTAGTTGCGCTTTTATCGTACTCTTGATATTTCTAGTAGGCTCTCTTCTAGTGAATCCCTGCCAAAAAATACCCGTTTTCTTATTTTGGTGCAAGGTTCAATTATGAAGCTTCAGCATGGTTTCAGAAGTAACATTTTGCGTGCTCGAATACTTTGTTATAAATGAGTTGACAATAAAGTAACTTCGCCAGTAACGGATGAAATGATTGGTTGATGTTTTCAATCTCTGTGGTAAACTATAAAAACAATCGATTACTCTGTATATTTGGACATTTACTGATATAAAGGCTTCTTTCACTCAAAGCATTTGATTTTATGCCTCGAATGTAGACATTCTACCCGTTCTAGTGTCAATTAGTTTGTTCGGTATTATCGTTACTTGTAGCACCGTTGCCAGTACACTGTGAAGCAGAATGTTAGCTATGATAATTTGTTGCTTACGATTCCCTGTAACCTATGAAATCAATTACTTAGTACCTTTCACCACCGAATTCAAGTTAAATAAAAATTGCATACAAGTACTGAATCGATTCAGTTCAAATGAATATTCTTTAAAACAACAGGTAGTTGGTCTGATTGGGCACTAGCTGAAGGAATATTCAGTTTGGCGTCAAAAATTCCTAATTCCATTTCTTTACACTTAGAAAAGTATTCAAAAACACTGCTTAATCTGTTGCATCAGAAACTGAGTAGCTATAAATTGCAACATAACGTAAACATGGTAGTAATCCTTGTAGAGTCTCGACAGATCCTAGTATTATTCGATATTAAAATGAAAATTATCTTGTAATATCCAGCAACAAACAAGTTCAATGAAAACGATAAACTTACTCTTTAAATTTCGAAGATCTAAAAAGAAATGAATGTATATAATTTTCATTTCAGTCATATGGAACTGTTGTTCATATAATACATCATTAAACAATAACTGGCAAGTCACTTTTAGAAACCTGGGTGTGTTGAATTACCGTTTCGTTTTGGAATCGTTCACAAGAATCCCGCATCTCTCAGTATTCGAACGCGGGAGGTGGGATCTGGCGCATGAACACCACAAACGCGGACTACTGAACCGACATCCAACTGTGCAAACGACTGATTGGTATCAGTCTGCGGTTGTAGAAGTGGTAGTGGAAGATAAGACAGTGAAAGGGAAGATTATGGCTTCAGATATAATTCGATGAGTATAATCCAATGAAAAAATTAAAAAAAGATGAACTTCTTGAGGAAATCATAATATTTGCCAGTGCAAAAGATGTAGAGCAAAGTCATTGAAGGTTTCTAGCTACTTGATACGATTGTAACACGGACTCGAACCATGGCAACATTTTACACCTTCGAGCGAGGCTCAGTCAAGTTGTAAGTGATATTACACTCGATTTCTATTTCCATGGCCAACACAAGCAAAATCTAAGACAACATGAAACACTTGAAAAACTCTGACAAACATCACTTTTAATAATCAGTTTCTATCAGCTCTGGCTCGACCACCAGTGTACTGAGCCACTTTTAGGTTGATGAAACTTCAATACGTTTTACAGTGAAAGACACTGCCACAAAATTTCATGATCGGTGGAGAAAAATGCCTTCTGATATTTCAAGATCACCACCATTTTTGAATGTCTAAATGTGAGTCTAGTCACTTGAATATCTGCAGTCAACGGGTGTATTCAGGACCGGAACTTCTCTGATTTACTCGATTCTGCTCATCACGAACTCAAATTAGGCAGCAAATTACATTGAAGTCTCACAATTCAATATCAACGCTAAAACTAGATCATTGTATTTAAAAACCTCAGTTTTATTACATCAGCTATTCCTTCTCGATCCCTAACTTTAGCTTTGCAATATCTTATCTAACTTCTTTGCTAGTCAAAATACTTAGGTTTGGCTGGTTACCCGAAGAGTGCCTGAATCATAAGGTCAGCTGATTCGTGAAGCAAATAGGCCATTCATCCGGTCTCCAAGATTGTAAACTGTTATTGTGGATGTTGTCAATCGAAAGCGTCTCCATAACATCCGGATTCTCATTTTCAGTTTCCTTGGTAAGTCCAAATATTTGCTCACTGTTACCTAGTTCGGTTGCTTTTCTTATATGCTATCTATAAACTCTACCGCAGACGATCCTGGGATAGTGTTCTTATCAATCTGCTATTAGGATGATCATGCTTCTCATCACGTTCGGAGGCGTATGAGTTGCGGATTCGCGAATCATTTAGTTTAGACGATCCTACTGAAACCCGTTGTCTATCACTTGCTCTAATTTTTCTTTTTAGTGGCAGATATCAAAACTGTCTTCACAGCTGCCACTTAGACATAAACATCACATTCACGACTTCCTTACTCCCTGACAGTAGCAGCTATATTATTTTTGTGCCTTTGCTATCGTTCAGTAAAACCCATGCACATACACGTTGGCTAGAGAAAACGATCTGAGTGTGAACATTTGCTCCACAAATAAAACATTTTGCCACCGGACGTCTTCATCAGTGTCCGTTGTTATTGTGGTATAGTTTGATCCAGAGACGGAAAGGTTCTTCCGAGAGTGTGCCCATCTTGACGTTACCGTTCAGAATAACAGTGAACAAACAACATTCCGATTATCATCATAGATCTGCATGTGAATATTTACTTTCAAGTGTACGATAAAATCCGCAAATGCCTCTTCATCAATGGCTTGTACCAATGTACCAATTGCGTATGCTATTAAAACGACAATGGTTGTCACCATTTCTTGGGTTCTTTCGGTTTCTCGCCTATTATTAGTAGTTGCTAGTAGTAAGCATTGATCAGAGTACAGCTGCTGTAGACGTTTGTTATTATATGTTCCTTGAATTGCTACACCATCATATTATACAAGGTTTCTTTTTCGGCTTCGTTTATCTACCAAAAAGTCAACATCACCTGCCGTGACTACCATAACAGACTGACTCTATTTTCTATGGTAGTCTGAAAGTTTATATAGGCCTCATCTTCTGCCTCATCAGTTAAAACGTCTATATTCTACTGTTCTATATTTAGAAAACTATTCAAGAACACAAATTCCTCTGTTGCATTACAAAGTAAAATGCAATGGATTGGTGGATTACGTGAACAGAATATTTATTCTTGTTTAGTCAACAGACGGTAACATTATTTAGGTTTTAAATACACAAAAACGGATACGACTGACGAGATATATATTATATGCAACGTATTTGACTTACTCTCTGCAAAAATCGAATCTGAAATAATATAACATTCAACCATTATTTTTATTTTATGGAGTTGGGGATTGGTGTTTAATGAAGAATTCATGAAGTAATGACTGTTAAATCACTATTTTAAACCTGTAGGTACTGAACGAACATTGAGTTTTGAATGATTTCTACAGATGGTGCTTCTTACAGTAATGAAACGCAAGATCTCCGGCTGAGACCTTCAAACCACGGAGCCGACATCCAGCAGTGTTTATGACAAATTCTGATCAATATATGGTCCGTGCGACCTTGCCTTCGTTTGCGGTAGTTGATGGCTTCATGAAAAGGGACCAGTATCTTCCGGTCACGTTTGCTCACTAGGAAGGTCTTAAAAGTTTTCTCCATGAAGCTACATTGTTATCAGTCTCTTAGCCAGAAAGCGAAAGGTGGTGCGTATGCACCGTACCTCATAATTGTAGCTAGAATATGAGTGTATAAACATTTGTAAATTTGTATATCACCCTGCATTTCCACAATGCTGTGTGGTATTTCAATGATTAAATATAATCAGGATGAAAGAGTAAATCAATATAAACTTTATTTATTTCAAGTGAAGTGCAAAATAAAAATTATTTCATTCAGTCTACGCATAATTCCCCAAAAGTTATCCATCTGAAGAAAGACTTTAGCGTAAGAACTCTGTTTGATGGAGGCACTCATCCAGTAGAAAAAACCTGATGTAATTTTGTTTCATAAAGAAGATATATATAAATCCTGAATTAGTGCGACCGCCGGTTTGTTTGCGGCTAACTGCGCACAGGAAATACACTGCAACAAACCTCGTAGGTTTCTATCTAATGGTATCATAGGTAAACGTATATTTCAGAGGCAACAATTAAGTGGCCAGTTTCTTCGTTTCTTCGAACGATTTACAAAGAGCTGTAAGTGCAACAGTGAAAACTGCTGTTAAGATAAAGCGTGTGGTTATGGAGAAGCCGTGGAATTTAGTAGCATCTACCGAACAAATAGACGCTCAGGATCTGATCCCACCTGTCACGGAACAGGACGAAGAGCGAAGACAGCCTTAGCGCAGGCCGAACAAAAGCCTACAAAATGATTGGGAACGGTGGTGGATAGCCATAGCCAGAAATTTGAAAAACTCTGCGATGGAAAGTAACAGAAAACAAATGTTCCGCCTTATCAAGGTAACTGGCACTATCAATTCATCTATTAGCGTCAGAAAGGGAAAGTCATTATTGACCCAGAAGATAAGATCAATGGGCAGAACACTTCGGAGATCAATTCAACTGGGAAAAATCAAATCTTCAGTTGATCACTTTTTTTCGGCCTACCTAAATAACTAACCGATGTCATTCGTCTCAATCCCACTGATGTGGAAACACATATTAGAAATCCTAATTGAGGGAGATCAGCGGATCCTGATGCATTGATCCTTGAAATTGTAAGAGTGATGGTTATGTTTTGGTAGTTTGATTGACTTAAATAATAATTAGTATCTGTACAATGTGCATATATCCATTTGACTGGTCGCAATCACTGATAACCTTAGTCTACAATATCGGACAAAAGTCAACTCGTGAAAATCGCAGAAGTCTCAGTTTAACTAATATATTATCTAAAATGTTAGCCCAGATAATAACTTCGACGCATGGCATTATTGAGGTTCTGTAGCAGTGTTTTAAGATAATCCACTATCGGAAAACACCAATCTTTCTCACAAGAATATAGAAAACTTTGAGGTTGACACTGTTTTACTCACCGTAGTCTTCGCTTTTATCGCTTTTCTTTTTCATATAATTGAGCAAACATTCCAAATACTTCTTCGATAAGGTTAATGGAAATTGGTCGAGCGATTTTCCAACTGATACTACTAAAGTTACCGTGAGGTTGTTTGGAACATTGAGGACAGCGTCACATGACAGAGTAAACGATTTCAGTGCTGGTTCACTTTTTTCCAAAAGCCGTTTTACCTTGTTTGAATCACATAAAGACAAAGAACACGACATTTCTGAGTGAAAATTCCATTGGATTGGGTTATTTCATTAAAAATACTATGCCATTTTGAACGGTTGTTTGTTAACAGTTTCTTCAGATTTAAATGTTAGGATTACTGTTATCAGTTTTCAACCGATTAAAGTGATATAAATGCAGCTGAACTAAACATAACAGAGTCATATTAACCTCTGTTTTCCTTATATCTCTAAATCTTTCTCTCTTGACTGATGCACTTTGGCGATAATAATCTACCTTCATTCCTGTATGTGCATTCTCATTAGTTAGAGATAATAGTTATGTCGTTTCAAGGTTTCTTTGAATGCCAATGACGTTCGAAACAATATGAAAAACTGGCATAACTAATCATTTATCAAAACTGATTTTTGTCAATGAATTTGCTCAAAATCAATTCATCTCAAAAGTTGTGACCGTCAAACCATTTACATACAATTACTGGATTTATTTAAACAAAATACCATGATTTAGAATAATGACTTACTATTGGACAAAATGTATCGACAACAGTTAAATGTTCAGTACCTTTCGTTCCATGAAACTTTTCACCCAACTGTTCAGTATTAAATATAATTCGAATTCTTGAAATATCTAAAAATTAAATAAATGATTATCAATGATTCAATGTTTTTTCGGTCATTGCGTTCTATAAAGCTATAATAATAAACTGTAGTTTGATTTGGTTTTTATTAAACTCAATTGTAAATCCCGTTAATTTATTCATTGCTTCAGCAGAGCTATTAAACAGTCTTGGAATTACAATTTTTCAATACGAAAACCATGTAATTTATTTTGTTTGCTAATTGAAAGAATTTTATCTATTTTGAATTGAGTTTTGCATTAAGGCGTGATACAATTTCTTCTCCGATAATTTGGATGAAGAATATCTATCAATACTACGGAAGTTATACTATTTTATAAAGTTACCGGAGAAATAAATTCCTAACAAGGACGAAGTAATCTCCTAATTATAAGTAGAAAGAAATTCTTTAACGAAATGTAAGTGAACAGAATAAAGAACTGCGTAGACGATGAATGCCGAAATAAACAGGCTTAATACCGTAAAGTTCGAACGTACAACGAACGCAACATGAAAACGTTAAATCATTGTTTGACAATCCAGCGGATCAAACCTTATGATTATACATCTAAGTCGTTGATCCTATGAAGCCATTTGACACCATTGACCGGACAACATCATAACAACTCCGATGACACGACTATGTACTTGAGGAGATAGTAAGCATCCTATGAAATGTTTAAACAGAGTAAACTTCAGAAACATGAATGGAGATCGCTAATGTTAACATTTTGACTGAAAACCTTTTACAGAGAGCTGCAAGTTCTCTCCGTTTCCTTTTCTCAAGGCTAGTGAATAGATGGTCATGAAGACCTCATCATTTAAAGGATAGTAAAAATTACGCTGCATATCTTGAATGAAGCTAGATGGTTTGCATTTACCATTTCATATGGCTTATTATTTTTAAAAATCTACAAATGGATGTTAGGACTAAAGATATTCGGTCAGCATCATTGATAATGAAGAAGGAAGATCTGATGTAGATGTCTAGCTATTTACCCGTGCGACTAGTAAAACATTTATATAACTGTGGAGTATCTGTAATTTAGAACAACTGCTATTCAATGAAAAACATAATTTTCAATGACGAAGTCGGCATCGTTTTAATGAATGTACAAATGAATTGTTGAACTACGGAAATCATCATCCATAAGATTCAGTCAGTAAAAAACGAATGTAAATGCTAGATACAATTGCCAGACATCAGCATCGACAACCAATTTTTTGGAGACAACTCAGTAGATTGAAGCTCGATAAAAGTTGCTGTCTGTAATAATAAGCTTAGAAATGAAATTCTTATTATTTTTAAATGATGACGATTATCTGGTTCACGTAGGTGAAAGTTATCTATATAAACTTTTCAGAAATGTTGTATGAAGTTAGAGGTTCATATAGCAAACAAACATTGTGGTGCTGATAGGATCAGTTGACGAATTACAAATACTAAAAGACATACACCTTGACTTCCATGGCTAAATGCAAACATATACACATGTTACATACATAGATTTTGAAGTAATTATTTACTCTATGACTTTCAGCACATTATGAGGTATGTTGTTTAACGAACAACAATCTAAGCCCTCATCATAATCAGACTACCAAAACTGCTACACCAAAACTGAGCATGTAAGTCGATTTTGTTCAACAGGTTACACTGTGTCTTCTGCAAAATAATCAACGCCAGAAAACCTGAACATCTGAATTGAAATCGTCTCTCAATGCATAATTGCATAGACGATATACAGGGAAATAATCAAAATGTTTTGTGGAAAATTATTTATTGCATTTCAATTTCCTACTTGTTGGCAGAGTTTCGTATTCGTCAGCATATTTGTGTTCATTTGAAATTTCATTAGTTTGGTGGGCTTTTCCATGATTCATTTCGTCTTGATGATTTTGTAACCAAATTGACTTAAACTGAAGAGTAAATAGAAGGAACACTAGAGCCTTCATTGGTTAGCTAATTTCACTGTACTGTAAACAAAATTTTATAAACAACACAAAAGATTATGTTTTGCAGAAAGGATAATGTTGTAGTTCAATATAGTAGAAACTAAATTCATTTTTTAAGAGAAGAAATTTGAATGAAATGAATAGAAAGTCAACGTAACTGTGCATTAGATTTTCTATGTTCAAGAAACAGACCACTTTATTTAAAACACACGTTTTGAACTCGATCACAAAGATTGTTTATTCGAAAAGATAATAGACATTTTTGACCATGTAAAGAAAGACTGTCAAACTCTCCAGTGATTTATGTTTCTGGCAAAGGGGATCTGCGAATATAAGTTAGATCACCCGTAAACACCTGAAAATACTTTTAAGACAGCGCTTTCGTCATAGAATTGACTCATCTGCAGTTTGTATTAGATCTCCTCAAATACAGGAAATGAAATTCAGTAGCGTTCGGCTAATGCATGAACTCAGTGTTTATCGATATAATTGTAGTTTTAGAAGACTCGAACTGCGAGAATTTTTATTTATTCTCACACATTTGTGAACAGTTTTAAAATTCAACTAATGAACATTAATTCAAAATCTGTACATCAAAATCTTCCTTTGTGTTAGTTTCTTCGTTTACGAACATACATTTTATTTACAAGTTAAACGTAAATTCTAATCTCAAGTTACCTGGTTGATAACTGTCTTAAATCATGTATTATAAACAACTAACTGTCTTATCATTATTATCCGATTCGATTGACTGTCACTTATTTGTAAAATACGATATAGTAGTGGCATCGACAAATGACTAATTGCTTAGTGGTGAATCTTTTCCCACTGAGCATTTTCACTACCGCAAACGATTTATAGCCTAATAATAAAAAACACTGATCATCGATATCATACAACATTATCTATCTAGGGTTGACACTCATATTATCATCATCGCACAAACCAGAGCCATCAGGTTGAGTAGAAGGTAAGTTAACATCATTTACGTGACTGCGATGATGACCAGGATAAAATTTAAGATGTATGAATTCTTCTGTTAGTTTGAAAATTACAAGGGTGCAACCTACGATACAACATATTATTTATCTTCCTATCAAACAGTTATAAATCGGTATTATTCAATTTCATCTACTTACCTGTAATAAAGTGACTGTCTGCTTCACAAATAATAAATAGTGAATGATTAAAGTATGATTTCTTCTCCATTTTTATACCAGTTGAGCTTGAATAGGTCAAACATGCACATTTATACACACACTTGAACAAAATTCACATGAAAACTAAGTGCTAATTACCTAAAATTAATATTATTTTTACTCTTAATTACATTAACAGATTTATACAACTTATTATTGAGAATATTGTGATTGTAAAATGATGTGAAATAAATATATACAAATACGAAAAAAACTCATCGCTTGAATAAATTACTGAATAATCTCTTACAAAAAACATGTATTTAATTGCACACAGATACTCAATTCCACCAAGGGAATACATCTACAACTAATGTATTTTTTTCTGTATTTTTCAGAGTATAATCATTTTTTTTATAACGAATAAAATATGGTAGATACGCTGTACAATGTGATGGTTCTTGTAAGATGAGCTTTCATAATTCTTTAATGTTGTATGCCACAGTCTACTTTTCTAATGACGTTCTTAACCCTTATCAGTGTTCTAACAACATTGTACATCAAGCACATTTTTCCGCTTTCTGTAACTGCATCGAATCAGTAGTTTCCTGTGATGTCCTCATTAGACTGTTACTTAGCAGTATGTGATGTTCTATGTTTTACCCCCATTTATTTTGTCTCTTAAGAGATTGTATACCGATTGCAGATCTCCACTGCTAAAAGCACGGTTCTTCGAACCTCTTGTGGGATAGTAAATGTTTTTCAATACACATAAAGACATATCATATTCACATCCATCAGGCTTCATCTATCGAATCACCAGATCTGATCACTTGTCGTAAAATTGACACATAGTAATGAAACTACATTAGTACAATTATCGTCAAATCTAATCTTTTATTGACTGCCTTCTTTCATACATCTTCTGGGGTATATATCCAGGACCATCAGTCTTCATTTTAGTAGTAAACTCGCACCAAATGTTTACCACATATTCACTACAGACTACCTACAGGCTTTATTGTTAGTAGTACATATCACACAACAGGCAGTTCTTCTATTCCGTGATGTTGAAAATGTCAGATTTACAGAACTCGATTAATAATTGCCTTATCTTGGATAACTGTTCTTATTAGTTAAATCTTGTTATTGTTAGTGTACTCCGCGCATAGTAGAATAAATAACACAGTCACCCAGTGTTTGCATGTGTGTGCTGGTTTGCTTGACGTTAAAGGACAACTTCGCATTTCGAAAAAAGCATATTTTTCTCCATGAGTGATCAAAGGTAGAACAGACAATAGACTTTTAAAGTAACAAAGTTTATTCTTACAACTGTGTCAACAACTTTAATAGATTGTTTTGATATATTCTCGCCACCTGGATTAGTAAGCTATTTTTCAACAACTAATGTGTGTTCTTGCTGGTGTTTAAGTGATGATCTTCAGAGTTGACTACTTTAAATGTTCTCACTATCCCATAGTTTTACATGTGTGAAGTTGTTTGCTGATGTCTTTTTTCCTGTGGTAACGGTATGATTGTTTGACTGTACAAATGGCTTTAATTAGTAAATTGTTTAAATGAATTTTTGAATAAACCAGATTGACCATGTCATTTATTGTGTTTTATGTCCACGTTAATAGGTAGTAGAACCGTGTAAGTAGGCAGCTGCATCTGATCAACATATAATTAAGTGAATATGTAACAATATACCGTTCTTCATCTGGTTTTCGAAATACCGATCCAAGCTTTATCTGATGTGGCATCTCTGACATGGCTGCTCAACTTTTATTTTTAGTTGATTCTAGGATAAACAATCAGCTTTCATATCGCTAGGCAGAGCTCTATGTAATTTTGTTGCTGTTTTTGTACTTATCCGCAGGGGGATGACGACAAAGATATGTTCGTACCATCTGTTTACTGAGCCACAAAATCATGGAATCTATTATTCTTGAAAGAGGTCTTGTCGCCGTCGGTAAATCTTATCTTTTCGGTCCTCTGTGCTTAAGCAGAGGCAACTGATAGCCAACGATAAGTGACCATCAAGTTCAGGTTTCTGTCTGTCTGCTGAGATCCAGTCAAATAAAACTCCTGTTTTGAAAAATTAAGTAATACTGACAACCCTGGAAAGCATCTGGAAGAAACCACCACCACCTGAACTGCAGTGGTTTTCTATTTCGACATCATGAAGTTAAATGAATTATTGTACTCGTGTTCTCAATGGGCGTTTTGATGCCCATGTTTGTCACATGAACTTAACATTAAAAGCTCAAACGTAAAAAGTTAAGCTTCATCTCACCAGAACAGGATAACGTTCCATGTGATTGAATTCTGAAGAGATTCCAGGAATAGTTTGTGTTCTATTTGGCTCCATTAGCAGGTACCTTATTTCACACGCCCATAACGTTGAACAGTTTTCATTGAGGTTTGGTTCCAATGTCTGAAGACGTGTATGCACATTTGAAAACATGACTGCTTGAAACGGGTTGCATACGGGCATTTTTAAGGGAAGGTAACATGCTAGCAACCCTCCGATTCTGCTTCATGCCAGACGATTCACTCCTACGACTTTCATAAAAAAAGTAGATAAGAATGGAACAGTTTGTCTCTGCTATCTGATCACTATCTTTGAAGGAAAAAAAGTTTATCACAGTAACGATAAAACATGCTTTCTCATAAGATGCAGATAATTGAGTCTTCCAACAGATTATCGTGCACCTGATAAAATTTTTCAACAAATTATTTTGTGAATTTTTTCTACCCCACTCATCAGGGTATAATGTTAATGTTACCAATATGTTGTTGAAAAAAATACCTTTGTCTCTATTGTTCGGCATAACGTCACATGAAAGAGCATCCCATGTAAGTGCTGATTCGCATACATTTACATGTTTAACCTATTAGCAACTGACAGCCATTTCTTCATAGCTTTAGATTTAACAGGTAGCATGAACTTAAAACCTGAGGGCTCGTGTGAAAACTCAACTTCTGAATCACAAACTCTACATTCAGTGGAAAATATTTCTAATTACAATCAAAACAACATATTTCATGGCGTTTACTCAATGTCTTTAATTATATGATTATTAATTTTGCTAAAGGAAGTGCGTCAACACTCATTGCCGAAGGTCATTTATTTGACATCAGCTAGAAGTGTCCACTCGGAATAAGAATGAAAGTTTCACAAGCAAAACATTGAGCTCGTAGAATTAAAACCTACTGTTAAGTATTTCAAATACTTTGAAAATTACAACACATTCTTGCCGTCTCAGGTACATTTGTTTTATTTTTGACATTTATACTACTAAAGTTACATGTCCTATCGTTATTGCATTGTAGAAGGTGCATTTTATTTTTTTCCAGACTGTATCATACTGTATAGCTGCATGATGATGACTATTCTCGAATCTCTCACAATGATAAATTTGTACTATTGAACATCCACTGACAACTGTTTATAATAGCAAGTCGCCATTTGAAGTCTAAAAATTAAAGATATCTTGAAGTGTTTACAAAGTAGATGTTAACAAGTTTGAATTTCAGATAGCGATCGGACAATTAGGAAACGACATGCAACCTGACTTCCACATCAAGATGCAATGCATGTTATCTCCCCCCTATTTCGATTGATTATAATGAAACATATATTAAAAATTTGATGAAACAATAAGAAAATGTTCCATTGAGTATAAAATTAAATTCGACATGAAGCCGTCATTCCTAACAAACCGTATTACTGATATAATGATGAGAATTGCACGAGGCATTCGATAATTCCGTTTTATTAACTATTACAGGTGATTTCCACAATGCATGCCTTTTCTGAACCTCGATGCTGTCGTTCATCTCATTTGAGATTTCTTTGAATCCGTCATAGAGTAGTTTTCTATTGGTGATGTCTCAACATTGGATCAGCTGTATCGTACATAGACAAACTTTTGTCGAAACCAAACCTCTAACTCGAATGTTCATCAAATACATCTTCTTTATTATCACTGATTATGTCAAGATATTTATAGTTCGTACCGATTGTTTATAACTGTATTTTGTGAGGTGTGTTGTGGTATAGAACAACCAGCTGATCTGTAAAAGCAAAAGTTACTATTTATTATTTCAACACAAGCAGAATGTACAAATATTTGTTAGAGTGAAATTCAGTCGCTGAAGAGTATCAACATAGAAAGCGATACAGATTCAAAAATATGGTTAATCAAAAAGTTAGAATATATCTGTTGCGTCCAGTTCGGCTGAATAAGATTGACTAAGTAATTCTGATTGAAAATTGATTAACAATGGGTTTGATGATATTACCATTCAAGATTTCACAGTTTCATGGAAGATATAACTACTGATGATTTCTTTATAATGTGTTGCATAAGTTCACGATTTACAGACAAAAACAAAGGAATGATTTTGAGTTATTATAATGTGAAATTGAATATGAGAACGCAAACTGTTTATTAGGTGGTATAAGAATTAAAACAGTCCTGTGGTATTATAAGTATTGAATGCAAGCATAAACAAATTAGGTGCGAAAATCAGAGGACACAAGCATTATTTAGAAGTGCGTAAATACTAACATCTGTGAATAGTCACATACATCGAGATAATGTACAAAACTTATATCTCAATTTGTATGTTATTCATTTCAATGAGAAATTGACTGAGATTATCCAATCTTCATTATAAGTAGCATAAAATGTATGGGTGTTCCGTGGGATTATGATGAGCCGATGAAGTGAATAAGAAATTATGTGAGAAAATATAAGGACACCACTACCATTTCAGAGCAGGTAGATTTCAAATGGTTTGGATTGTCTCATAGATCGTGAGAATCAAAAGAATTATGACGACACAGTTTATAAAGGTTATTGTTAACCTCGTCTACGACTCATGTTCACAACCTTCAAATGGTTTCACTTCCTACTAAAAGAACCTATCATGAGCAGAGCTAAAAAATTTCGGGTAAAATGCTCACTAGTGAAATCTTTAGCTTCGGCGTTTTAGAAAGAAACAGGATAAACGAAATATTACTGGAGCATCAGATTACTGTGCTTCATCAATAAATACTGCGGTTCAACATGATTCCTAACAATGTAGGTCTGCTAAATTTCCTCTTTTCATACAAGTGGCTGTCCATTGGTCACCGTACTTTTTATCGGTCTACATTATTCGACAAAAGTGCAGGTGTACAGTGAAGTTTCCGAGTATTCATTCCGTTCATTTACGAAAGAGTAATTTCCGTTCTGCTCCTCTCCTCTTTCTTGTTATTTCTCTTTTCAGCACATTGTGATATTTCTTTATTATTTGTCTGGATAATAGCCGAAGACTTGGTTACGTTATTGAAATTTATTGTCTCACTGATTTCAGCAAGATCTTTGCATATTCATCTCATCGATGTCTGTTTAACGCAGACATGAATTTACTTTGCACTAGTTCTCAGTCATTAGTGGTCAATCGTCACGTAACCGTCGTAACTTGCGCTAACTATCTGTTTGGAATGTTAGACTCCGGTAACTCACTTGAAAAATATCTTTACTTTGCATTTATTTCATGGACCGATCAGTTCAAACAGAGATCACATTTCACACTAGGATAATCCTAGGTTGTGATTGGTTACTGTGTAATTTAGTGTGCTATTTGTGACTTTCCGAAGGACGTCTGTATGGAACATAAATAAACGCAATTTGAGTGCTTGAAGTCATTGTGTGCTGGCCGGGTGTTTGTAGTGTACACTGTCTACGCTACATCAAGACTGGTAAAATTTAGACAATCGTAACACAGTAGCCTACATGAACGCTGGTTTGTTGTTTTGTTCTCGTCATTTGACTGAGGTGAACCCGTAATGATTAGGCATACCTAGAGACGAGCACAACACTGGCGTATTTGCATTGCAGTCTGGATTATTTTCGATAAATTTATATGTGAAATGTCAGCCTTCTATATGCAGTCAATGTATCTAACGAAATATTCGGTAATTGAACAACCTTTTACAGAAAATGTGTTGTCAATTTTAACATTTTTATCTTGCCTGTTAATCGGCATGCCTCTTTTAACTTGTTGTAATCTTAGCATAAATTATCATTATCATTTCAATGTCAGAAAATCTAAGGAAACCAGTTCTGCTTCAAAGCTCGTACATTCTGACTTCTGTGGATAGTCACATATAGCTAGCTAATGAACGAAACCAATTCATAATGTGAATATAGTTAATGTCAAAGTGAAATTTACTCAGAGTATGTATTATTCAATAATAACAGCATTACAATTATGAATTTTTCATGGGAATTTAAAGACGTAATTAATTAAATAAGAAATCAGGTAGGAAAATCTAAGGACATCAGTACTACTTAAAAGTCAGGACATTCTCACTTCTTTGGATAGACACATACATTGATGTAATGTACAAAACTTATATCTCAATGTGTATGTGGTTCATTTCAGTGTAAATTTAACTGAATGTATCCATTCTTCATTATAAATAGCCTAAAATATATGAGTGTTCCGTGAGATTATGAGGACATGATGAAGTGAATAAGAAATTATGTGAGAAAGTATAAGGACACCACTACCACGTCAAAGCAGTTAGTTTCTCACTGCTTTTTAAAATCTAACATTATGTGGTAATCAAGAATCTCTTTCTTTGACTGAACCCTTCTCTATGTGTTAGCATTGCCAGGTTATATCCATTTATACTCTAATGTTCATTTCTCGCGTTTTTGGAAATTTATCTCCATGTTTATTGAATGCGATTTTCAAGTAAAATCCCATTGTTTAAGCAGTCATCATTTTTATTTGCGACAGACTTATAGAATTTACAAGAGATTTTTTGTACTTGATATGATGAAATTCTGAATTTTTTTGCATGATATTGCTTCTTCTTACTTTTAAGTATAATCTCGAGGCTCAACCGTCACTCGGACTTTTACTGAATTCAGTTAGCTTAATTTTGGTCACTAAAGAATTGAGCTAAACGCCTAAGCATGCCCATGAGCGAACTGTACTACGTTTGACTCTGAGATTTTATATCAACTTTTTGACACGTTTACAACAGGCTGAAGAATTTAAAATAAGGGGAATGGTGCTTCTTCGATCGCGTTTGACGATGATTGTGATTCAGTGTCGATTTCGAGGAAATCAATATGAGATATAGGATCATACACAAAAACCGAACATCTCCAGTAGTAGGCATCAACAGAAAGATTCATCTAACCAATTTAAATGAATTTAATCACCATATGAATTCAGTTTTACTTAAAATCAAAAGCGGTTATCCTTTAAGTTCTAAAATAACCACTTCCTAAACATTTAGCGATAGAAGTATGTTTTTTGGTGAAATAAATTTTTATGAAGGAAAGATATGAGTTATTCAAGTTAATTAATTGTCATTTCCGTTTCACTTATTCATTTCAGTCTCCGCTTTTATTGTAAGTTTTACATTTTAGCATTTCGGAATCTACTTTTAAAAAGGCCGGGTTTGACAGGCTTTAAAAATTTAGC